GTAGGGAAGACTAGGGTCTCCAATGGGACACTTACATGCCTGTACCAATGCCAGGAGCTTGGGGAACAAACAGGAGGAACTGGTCCTCCTGCTAAACAAGAATGACTACGATCTCATAGAGATAAACAGAGACCTGGTGGGACTCCACCTATAACCAAGGCACAGGTATAGATGGCTATATCCTGTACAGGAGAGATTGTGCAGATAAAAGGGGCGGGGGTGTAGTTCTCTATGTCAAGGAAAGCTACACGTCCCTGCAAGCTGACATTGGCACCCAGGGAGGACAACTGGAGACCCTCTAGGTTAAAATCTGTGGTGAACATGGCACAGGGGACACAATGATAGGAGTCTACTACAGACCTCCTAATCAGGAACAAGAGCTTGACCAGGAATTTGCCAAGGAACTGGCTGAGGCTGCACGCTCTCAGTGCATGGTTGTCATGGGAGACTTCAACTACCCAGACATCTCATGGGATCTCGTGGCCAAATCCAAGGGGCCACAAAGCTTCCTCACATGAATGGACGAGCTCTATCTGACTCAAGAAGTCTATGGACCGACAAGAGGTAAAGCGCTGCTTGACCTGGTACTGGCTAAGGGGGATGATCTAGTCAGCGACCTAATAATCGAAGGGAAGCTGGGAGACAGTGACCATGAGCTGATCACTTTCACTATGCACCGCAAAGCTGGCAAGTCAATCAGCAATACACAAGTTCTCGACTTCAGGAAAGCTGACTTTGACAAGCTCAGGAGGCTTGTTGGCAAGGCCCTAAGGGACCACAACTTGAAGGGGAGGGGAGTTCAGGATGAGTGGTTGCTCCTCAAGGGAACAATCCTGAAAGCACAAGCAATGTCCATCCTGTCTTGGAGGAAAGGTAGCAAAAGGGCACAGCAACCCCATGGCTCTGCAGGGAACTTGTGGACCTCCTGCATCTAAAAAGAAAGACCTATAAAGGATGGAAGACTGGAATCACCTCAAAGGAGAAGTATTCTGCACTGGTCCAGACCTGTAGGGAGCGAACCAGGAAAACCAAGACTGCGACTGAACTCTAACTGGCTACACGTATCAAAGACAATAAAAAGTCCTTTTTTGGATACATGGGGAACTGGAAGAAAAGCAAGGGTAGCATTGGACCCCTGCTGAACCAAATAGGACAACTGACACCCAGGAAAAAGCCAGCCTGCTTAATGGGTATTTTGCATTGGTTTTTCACCAACCCAAAGAGACTGCCCTGCTCAACATGGGATGGGATGGCCAAGGTGAGGGAGAACTGTTACCCTACATCACTGTAGACCATGTAAAGGAACACCTTGAAAGGCTGGACACCTTCAAGTCAGCTGGTCCAGACAGTTTACACCCCAGGGTACTTAAGGAGCTGGCAGGTGTCATGACCCAAAAGGCATGATTGTGTGTGTGCTTCAGCATCAGAATTATCCACTTTAAGTTGCAGAGCATTGCACGGGAGTTTCCTGTAGCAAGAGGAAACTCCGGTGCAGGGACCAGTTTCCCGCCTTTTCTGCAGCTTCTTTTGCAGAGTGCATTGCTCGAGTTGCAAGAGGAATGCACAGTGCAAAAGAGTTCCTGCCACCGGTATGCAAATTCGTTCCCCGTGATTGGCTAGTGCTAAATTATTCACAC